AGGACAGGATCCACCACACACACACACACACACAACACACACACACACACACACACACAACCACACACACACACACACACACACACACACACACACAGCCATAGGAAGAGGTAAGGTGACAGTTAAGGGCAGTGTGGTGCAGCACTAACTTAATCAACACTTTTGACTAGGAAAGGCAACAGGTGCTTTCTTTGTTCTGGATCAGCCCGAATCTGCATACTCTGCTGAACTACATTTGGAGAGTTACTTTTGACGAGTCTAACAGTTGTTCCACTGGATGTCACGAGCTTTCTGAACTTATTTCTTAGCAGCACTGGCATTTTTGTGATTGTATTGTGTACAGTTGAACAATGCACAGATAAACAGTCAGGCATGGTGCGGTAAAAATGGTGTCTCCTCAGGCTCTCTAATACATAGTCACCTCGCAAACCTGCTGCTTTGCTATACTTTTACAGCCTTCAGGCCGACTGCAGGACCCTGTATTTCTCCCATGGGGCAAACTGAAGTTTGGACATTTCGGAGAGTAGGGATGAAAACTCTCATTTTGAGAAAACTGACCTTTACAGATTGCAGTGTGCGCTATCTGAACCCTCCTGGTCTTTGGATGACAGCTTTGCGCCTCGACGCTCTTCCGTGATGTATTTCATGTTCGGGGTCATTTGTTTTTTGTAGTAACTATTGCTTCGTGCAAGTGACTTATTGTGTTGGTCTTCTCTTGGATGTTTTGTTTGCTTCTTTTTTTGTCTGTTTGATTTTAATTTCTTAGCGGATTTGTAACCTCCGGAAGTGTTTTTAGTTCACAACCACGTGACGCATTTTCTGAACGGAATCACTGTTGGTCAAAAGTTGACACCAGCCAATGAGATTTCGTTTCATTGGTTTATTGACCCTTTTGTACTTTTCACGATTGGTTGCTGATGCAAAAGGAAATGAGCCAGTATTTGGATCCGTTGAGATTGTGCAGGAGAGACGGAGCTTTCCAATGATATCTCTGATGAAATGGTGCTAACAGCGGATCTGCGTTACTTTATGTTACGTTTAGAATGCTAAATTTTGGTGAAGTCTGGAGAGATGATTACAGACGCAATGTTTGAAACTGATTGTTTTTAACCCATTAAGTGGTTTTTTATGTACGGTTTTCCTCCCAAAAGGCCTGAATTGTTATGTTTGGATCAAAATAGCAAACATCAAAAAATGTAACAGATGCATTGAAAAACGATGTTGTTTTCCTTTGCCGTTTGTCTCGGCCTTTAACAAACAATTTATGCTGACTCGTATCGTTGTTTTGATTGTGCTTTTTTTTTTTTTTTAAGCGGCCAACCTCCCCACTTTTGGCAGCACCCTGAGCAAAAATGAGTCCTCCCACTGCTATGCCTACTCGGGATATCACACGCCTACTTGGGATATTTCACACCTCGGACCAAACGGAGGCGGACTTAGCTCATTTTGCATAATTGGTTGACCTGGGTCACTTTTGTTGCATGACTAATGAGGACGAATGCGGCATGAATATTAACTACTCCCATCGTCAGTGACTGCGGGTCTGAAACCTACAACATCCCACAGAACACATAATCATTTCATAAATCCCCTCTCCAAAACTCCAACCCCTGCCCACAAGCTCGTATGTGGGGAGATGCAGCGCCATGAAAATCAGACACCCCCCTCAAAAGCTAAATAGATTCAAAAACTAAACTCAGAATAAAGCCGGCTAAAAAATATGAACTATTCAGGTCCTCCATACTTAAAGCTAAACAAACAATAAATGACAGGAATAAAGAACTAATTCCTAACTACGTAATAATAGCAGGCCACACACATAGAAATGGCTGATGCCACAACAGAGTAATAAAAGAAGGTTGAGTGAACCCCAAAGGAATCTCTGGCTTAGGAGGATTTTGGTGTAAATACTGAAACCATACTCTCCTGACTCTCAAACCCATGTAGAAAACCCCCATTCAACGTACGTGCACATTGCTCCTGATCAGAGAAAATTTAAACTAATGGTTCTTCCTTTGTCGGTTCACATAAGAATCTTTTGCTTGAATAACTTCTGCTGTGTGTCCCCCGAGAAGGCAAACAGCAAGGCCATTTGGGGCACACCTCAAGCAGATATCTTTTCACATCAATAAAGGCTTTACAAGTGTGCCGACCTGTGTGATACCGTCAACGTTTTTTTAACACGGGAGAGAATAGGGGTGTAACGGTATCCGTATTCTGGTTCCCGTACCGTCACGGTTCGAAACGTCACGTTTTTCGGTGCATGCAATCACACGGACAATACCCCTTTTTTTTACGAGTCGGTGGAAAAAAACTGTCATCCACTACACTAATAAAATCCAGGGCGTATTGCGCCTAAAGCTGTGCCAGCCGCCCTTAACACAATGAAGAATAAAAAAAAACACAACAAAACGGAACAAATACAAAGGAAGAAGAAAAGTTATATGGCAAGTTCAGACACACAGGAGCAAAAAACACCTGCTGCTTTGAACGCTCTTGGGAACATTTCGGGTTATCTGGAGTGTGTGTGGTTGAACGGCTGTCGCCTCTGTCCTTTAACCTTCACCTTTGAAAACTTCTTCAAAAACATCCATATTGGCTACCACTCCTGGTCTGTCCTCAAATACTATTATGGATTCCCGTCCCCCCTCCAACCACCACCCACCTTACCTGCTGCCAGATGACGCTACAAAGCCGTTGTTGACTTGTCTATCACTCTTTGAGGTATTGCTGCGATCAGATACCTCACTTCATTTTGCTCCTGTGTTCGTGGACACGTTTAGAGTGTCATAACTTGTGGTGATCCGTGTTTAGTGTGTGTGTTTAGTGTGTTATATATGCTTGAATACTCTGTTATATTGTTAGTAGTAGCTGTTTTTTGTGCCCCTGGTGTTAGCTGCATTTCCCTTGCGCCTTCCCATAGCAGTGATTAGGTAGTAATAGGTTAGTGTCGTCATGTGTGAATTTAGGCTCACTTTTTAGGTCTCCTTCGTGTTTAGCAGTATACTGTGCCCTTTTGGCTCCTTAGTTTGGCTTTAGGCTATATATTGCCCTCTTTTTGTTGTACCACCTGTTTGTCGAGCGAATAGAACTATAACAAAGCACTTATATACTAATAAAGGACTGGTTTATCCTAAAGCCAGTTGAGTAGCACTTGAAATGTTTTAAGCTCTATGAAACCTGATGTACTTATATGATTCTTGTTTTCTTCAAGTTTGTATTTTGTTGGTCGGAACGCACATTATTGTAAGTCCGCTTTGGATAAAAGCTTCAGCTAAATGCAATGTACTGTAAAATGTTATTCCATTTAAACCCTATTATTACTTAATACACAAACCCATTTGTGTGTGTTGCCTTCCCTCATCCTAGTGGATAGTCGTAACTCACTACATGGGGGGCTAGTCCGGGATGAAATTCAATCTGAATCCTGGGGTTTATAAGTGGGTTTGGTGGTAGCAATTGGGTAAAACCTTGAGTGCAGTTCACCTGGGTATGGCGCAAATCGTTTAATTTGATGTCCTTTTTAATCGGTCCTTCAGTCAAGCAGCTAGATCAGGTGTCGTAAGGGAAGACCTGTTAGAGATTGCGCAACACTTCAGTTCTCACGGGGCAAAAGCAGTTATTAAAGCAGATCTTAAAGGCTGTCATTGTTGATGGGAGTTTGGTGGACGGGGTCAATTTTGGTGTGCTGCACCTGTCGTGATACGTTAACAGAAGGCGCATAAGCTTGAGGCGGTACCTTCAGCCTGCTCAGGGGAGAGGTGGGGACAGTGAGGACGACACCGCGGTTTATACCACACGCTCGCGTCGCCTCGCCATGAAGCACTATCCACCTGGTAGTTCAGCTTGGAGTCCCAAGAGGGGGCTAAACTAAAAGGTCCGTCTTGCTCGTCTTCAGCTGGGGCAACAGACAAAGAGCAGAGCAGGCAGATACAGTTCCCAGCTGGACAGTAAGGACGCTGGAGATAGAGGCCGACAAGCCAGTCAGGTTGCGTTCAGCTGGAGTTTGGACTCGCCAACTGCACACATTCTGGCGCTTTTTGTCCCCGACCCGTAGGCCCCCTCATCCAACCGCCTTTGAAATGGAGTAAACATCTCTCATTAGTGCCAACCTTTAGGGAGACTGAAGTGGACGCGCATTTGAGCGCCTTGCTGCAGCCGCTGCAGTGGCCGCTTGAATCGTGGCTCTCCTGGGTGCAATGGTGCAATGTAAAATTCACGGGAGAGCTCAGGAAGCAGTGGCTGCTCTTCTTTGGAGGAAAGTCTTGATTATGACACCGTTAAAACTGCCATCCTCAGAGTGTATGAACTCGTACCGGAAGCTTACCGGCAGAAATGTAGATACCATAGGAAGGGTCCTAATCAAACACATGTGGAGTTTGCCAGAGAAAAGGGAATAATGTTTTCAAAACAAATTGCTTCCTGTAAAGCCGTGAATTATACTGCTCTGAGGGAATTAATCTTGATGGAAGAATTTAAGAAGTGTTTGTCCGAGTGGACTGTGGTGTACCTAATTGAGCAGAAAGTAAATACTCTCTCAGCTGCAGCTGTGTAGGCTGACCCATGAATCTGTGGTTTTTTTTAAGTAATGTAACGCATTACTAATGAAATGTGGGTAATATATTACCCGTTACTGACTTTTTTAGGATAGCTTAAAGTAATGTTGTAAAATCACAACCGGGGGCCTTACAGTGTTATGGGCTATTGTTTATTGTTATTTGCTTTAAGATGTTTATTCTTAACCTATCATTGAATTTAAAAACTTTATTTAAATGATGTGTGTGTGTCTCTGTATTCCTGATGATACACTGAGAGAATGAGCTCATAGGGCTGCTGATCATCATAAGCTAAACAGTCTGTATATTGCACTATATTTGTATAATGTAAGCTTTGTTGATACTTTGCCTGTGGGATTACAAAAAAATAGTTAGATATACTGAATATTATTTGATCTATTCCACCACTTAATCCCAAATAATGTAGAGGTGTGTTGTAGGTGCCTTAAATAATCCCTTATTTTCTATTGAGATGTATTTTTATGTTCATATAATAGTGATTTCAATGCCACCCCAAAATTATCACTGGTTCCATCCTGGCCACCCCACTGAAAATGTCCTGGCTCCACCACTGATATTGGCCACTAATATTAATGTATTTGAGTGAAAAATACACTCAGGGACAGTGTGAACACACCTGAGCCGATGTGGCTATGTGTCTCGCTCTAGGAGGAATTATTGAGTTTAAGCAAGGGGTCGGCAACCCGTGGCCCACGGGCCGCATGCGGCCCTTTAAGCCCTCTGCTCTGGCTCCCTTGAGCTTGGACAAAAAATAAGAAGGAAATAAAATAAAAGTATTTGTAGGACTATTTATATTTTGTTGCATGGTTGAAAATGTTTTGTATCTTGTATTTTGAGGTGATACTGTGACACATAAATAAAAAACAAAACGGTTTTAATTAGGTCAACTAAAATATGCGTCACATCCTGCTACGGTCCCGCGCGAGCGCCTTTTCCTGCGAGTGAATAACCTGACCCCCGGCTTGATGAGCGAACTATGGATAAATCAAAGAAATGTACCGGAGGAACACAGGATTTAATTCTGTGTGGACAGAGTTATATGCTTTCACAGCAAACGATGCTGGTTTACCGGTATGTTTGATGTGTAGAGAGAAGTTGTCAAAGGTGCTGCACTGCCTTTACGTATTGAGGAACAACACGGGAGAGGAAGACAGCTGACATAATTCAATGGGGTATGTAATTTATTTCAGAAAACACTTTTTGTTATATTCCATGGAATGCTCTTAACATCCCGATAGCAATGAATATATTAAATGCTTTGACAATAAATACATAACAAAAACTTATCTCTGGAGCCGAAGCGCTGTAAAAAGCACGACCAATCATCTGGAGCCGGCCCGGCTAAAATAACTGGATGGCCTACCCCTGCCTGTCAGCCTGTCAGCCTTCCATCTGTGCACCACCATTTATCTCGTGCCCTCATATCTGGTCATGTGCGCCGTTCCGTGTGTGTTGGAGGAGGGGCTCTGGTGAGGAAGTCGAAGGAAGAGGCATATTTTTTCCGGTTTGTTGTATTTCAAATTCTAAGCGGCACTCGGAGCTGTTTCTCCATTCTTACCTACCTACCACTTACTTTAACTATTTTTAGGGTGCAGCTATATGTTTATTTATTTCAAAAGTGGGCCCATTTTAATAATATTTTTTTTCCTTCAATAGTGCAGAGGACTCCCCCCAAGTGCTGTGTTTAATTTATTTTAAAGTAAGCCTGTGGTATTTATTATTTAATTCTCCTTATATGAGTTCTTTGTTTCTTATTAGAGGTTAACAGTCTTTTATATAATGTAATAAATAGCCTAATAAATGCAAAAAAACTGTAGTTTTTGTCTGATATAACAATAAATACAACTTTATTAGCTATCAAGCTATGAAAATATGTGTTGCGGCTCCAGACAAAAAAATTTGGGGAAAAAGGAGCAAAAATGGCTCTTTTTGGTCAAAAAGGTTGCAGACCCCTGGTTTAAGTAATTAGCTAAGCAGTGGAGACCAGGTATAACAGGATAAGCAGAAGCGAGGGTTTTTCCCCTGTGGGCTGAATCTTCCAGGACTCCTCCACTCCTCCAGCCACCTGTTTTAATGAAATTAACAATCCTCTTCACCAAGTCCTAACCCTCCATCCTCTCAGCTTTCTCCGTCCTAAAGAGATTAGAAACCCTTCAGGAACATTATTCAGATTGTTTATCGGCTAGGGGGGTAACGGTTCACAGAGGTCACGGTTCGATACGTACCTCGGTTTGGGGGTCACAGTTCTGTACGGGTTCGGGTACAACCAGAAAAAGCAAAAAAAAAACCTTCCCAAATGCATAATTTCCAGGTTTGTTGTTTTTATATTTATTCATTAGCATACCGCACCGCTATCAAACAACATCCGACACACCTCCTCGTCCGATCCACCACTCGCACTCCATCTTATTGTAGGTCCACAGGGAACCCAACATTTTCCACACATGCTGATTTTAAAAAAGCAGGTGGGTTCTAGCTCCCTGTTGTCTTATCTGAAATCACATACTAACTTTTCTTCTTCTTGTATTTTGTTCATTTTGTTGTTGTGTTTCTTCTAGTTCTTCATTTGTTGTTTAAGGGCGGCTGGCCAAACAGCTTTTAGGGCGCAATACGGCCACTGGAATATAAATAGTGTAATGGAACCTGCCCTGAAATGAGTCTCACAGACTTTTTTCCCAAAAAGGCGTATTCGTCGTGTGACTGCATGTGACGTCCAAACCGTGACGTCCGAACAGTGACGGTACGGGACGAATATGCATACCGTTGCACCCCTATTTATCCACTCAGTCTCCAATTGAAATTAAGTGGCATTCTGTTACACTGGAGGGCTCTCTGCACAGATCTTAACCTCTCCTGTTCTGCTCCTCTCTTACCTCAATGTCCCTCCTCTCTACCACGTTTTGGAATTGTTTGTATATGTGACACAATTCCATTATATTATTTTGTATTCAGCCTTCCATATATACTTTTATATATATTTAAGCATAAACAAGGAATATGTTTCTCTAGTTAATAATTATGTGCCTTCAAACACATGTTGTGATTTTAAATGTCATGCGGCAAATGACTAATTAAACGTTTTTTTTTATAGCTTTATTCCTCTTGTTTCTATAAAGTGCCTAACGGGCCCATTATGCTTTTTTTGGGTGTTCCTCTCCTGCAGTGTGTTCTATAGGTTCTGTGCCTGTAAATGGTCTGCAAAAGCCTAACAATCCCTACGTTGCGCACAATGCAAAGACTTTACGCCATGAGCTTGGTGACCTGGGGACGTAGGCCATTTGAACCCACGATAAAAAGAACGACTTCGGTTCCCTTTGTTCGTACCAAAGAGCCCGTTCAAAAGAATCGGATCGTTCAAGAAACAGGTAAACATCACTAAATGCCTGGTGTTCGAAAGGTAGAATGATTATGATGACATCACTCAGAGTGAAACCATTTGTCAGTATGAAGCGTGCACCAGTCTGAAAGGAACCCTGTGGTGATATTCAACCACATGCTTATCAATGTTTTGGAATGATATCATTACAAAACAGGTTTATGCACAAATGCACTAATGAAATGCAGAGACAAAATCCATTCATGGGACGCTGATAACACCGACGAATATTCACGGCACGGTATGTGCGCAGACATTTGGAGGGGCTATTGGCTCTAACTGGAAAAAGGGCCTCCCCCGCGAAAAAAAAAAATATAAGACCGAAAACGATTAATTACATTAACCTAATTTGAACAGTAATTCACATCAATCATCTCATAACAAAATAAGCTAAGGCAACTACTGCATTCGGGTGACTTGGATTTTTAAAATGAAAAAACCAGGGACAATGTTTTGTTTTGCGGTCCATATCTCAATCAAAATACTCTAATGTTTTGGGAAAACTACTAAAGAAAAAATGGGGCAATTAAATGTAGTTTGACCATTGCAGATCATACTGATAAAATGAGGGCTATCTATAAGTTACCTTAAATAAAGCATCAGTAATTAATGGAAACCAGTTCAATACACATTATTCTTATTCTTATCATTTCTTTATGAGCGCTAGTAATGTGTTGTGTATTCTATACTTATTAGTATTCCATTAACTAGATAACAGAGATGGTCAAATTGAAAGAAGAGACATGCAGAAATCCTACAAGAAGCGGGGCAGTGGAAGTGTTCTCTGAGAGAGGTCGATCAAGAGAAGGAGAGCGAGCGGCCTGCCGTTCGAGGGAGTTTACGATGTGGGCAAGTTACATGGTAAGAAAGAAGGAGAATGAGAAGGCAAGTAGTCGAAGAAAAATGAAGCTGGGTGTGTTTCCCGCAGCGAGACCCTGTACTAATCACTGATGTACTAATTGTGGGCTTAAATCGATGTTATTCGAGCCAATCTCAACAGGAAAGCTAGAAAAAAAACTCTACGCTCTCTCCAGAGATGCAGCGTCTGATGTACAGGTCACAACAGGGATAACGTGGGCCGACTTGCTCCTACCCTGTGTGTCAACACCGATAGCTACGGTGCACCTGATGCAGCGTACACTGGTGAAAGACTCACACAGGCATTCATGTATTCTCATTTTGGACATCATTGTTTATTGGTGGAGTGGATAATGCGCGGGAGAAAGCCTTGATTATCAAATGAGCTTAGTGTATTAGCTGGGACTATTCCTGGCTTTCCGTGTTTATGGGATTTTGATGAGGAAGACAGCAGGTGAGTCCAGTTGGAGAGGTGAACAGAACAACTGGATTTACAACATGCAGGGCAATGCTGAACAGAGCCTGAACACAGAATAAACCCTGTTTCAAATCCTCACTGTGCCTTCCATTAGCATTATAATGACAAAGGCACGCAGAAACTGCATCACAAGTATGATCAGGCCTTAGTTGCATCCAACTTTCAGTATAGTATGTCAGAAAGGTTGCATGAATGGTCTTTGTTGTGTTTCAGGTCTCCTATTGTGCTCATTTTGGTGTTGGCTCTGTATGTGGTTGTTTAGTTTCTCTTTTGCAGATGGTTTTTATGGGAGTTATTTTGTTTGTAGATGTGTGGACTGGATCCCTAACATTTGTATTTTTATTTTCATCATCCATTTCTGCATCATCATGTTATTTGGAATACATATAATAATGATAGATTAATTTTGTAAGTGCTTTTACAGGTGCTCAGACGCTTTACAGATATAGTGGAAAAGAAAGAAGGACAACAAAGAGCCGCGCCGCGACGTGTAAGCGACCATAGCGGCCGGCTTAGGGCCCGCAGTCGCAAGCCACTAAGGGCCCTAGCAAAGATAAAAATAAAATTCAGTACATGACCGGTCAGCCAATGATAAGTATGTTTAATTAATTGTGATTAAATATGCCCAGATTGGCCTACTCTCAAGTCATGTATTATATTATGAGTCAATAAATAATACATTAACCCGTCTTTACCTGAACCTCATCCATGACACAAGAGAGGACGGCAGGATGTCATTGTCCGTGTTCAGTGAATAATATAATAAATACTTAGATTTATATAGCGCCTTTCATGGGACCCAAGTCGCTTTACAAGGAAGAACAGGGCAAAACAACATAACAAAAAACAAATCAGACAACCAGTCAGACAGACAAAAAACAACAATAATAGGGGCCAAAGGCTTGGTGAACAGATGGTCTTGAGGGCAACAGAGGCAAGACAACCAGACAAACCAGCAGAGTTGAATGGAAATAACATCTGTCTTATAGGCGCTGACGCTACCATCCTGTGAGCTGTGACAATGTTTAAATAACGTCGTCGGAACTCAGAGTTTTTGAAGATGGACATAAGAAATTTTTTTCGTTAAAAAAATGATGAAGAGGCGGCGAAGTGTGGGCCACGCAGTTGAGCCAGGTGAAAACAAGGTATGTTAAATGTCGCTAACTTCCGGGAGAGGAGGCGCGAAACATGTAAGCAAGCATAAATGTAAACAGCTACGTGACGTTTTACTGTTGAAATCGNGTACTGTAGGCTAGGGAAGGCTAAGCCTTCCCAAATATTTGTGTCACTGCATCCTGGTAAAATAAAAATATAATGTTTGTGTCTTTGACATTAGCGCTGCTATGGCAGCGCTAATGTCAAAGACACAAACATTATATTTTTATTTTACCAGGATGCAGTGACACAAATATTTGGGAAGGCTTAGCCTTCCCTAGCCTACAGTACCCGCCGCCCCTGCCTACACCTATTTCAAATGTGGCATTATTCTCTGTAAAAGTTACTAGCATGACTTCCGGTGGCGCCATGAGGTAGGAGACAGGGTGGAAACTAGCTAGTCCAAAAACCAACGAAAACAAGCTCTTTAAAACAATATTTAAAGTGGACCTATCATGCTATATTTGAAACATATATTCTAGGGCCATACCTATACAAAACATGTCTCTCATGCATTTTAGCTATGCCTCATTTCACTCTTTTCCAGCCCTGTTTTTGCAAGGGCTGATTCTGCTTATGTGGCAGACTACAGCGCCTCCAGCGCTTTCGAGCGGCCTTTCATTCCCCTGATAGGTGGAGAGTTGCCCATATAGGCGGAGCACCCCTTTTCTGATGTCAGAAAACTTCTAATAATAATCAGCTCTGTTGCAGCCCCGTTTTTAGAGATTTGGGTATGGAGGAAAAGAGACAGGGTTCTGTTTTCTGACACTTTGTGAGTTCCCTGACACACCGGGGACACATATTCATGTATAAAAGACGTACAAAAGTGCATTTTGCATGATAGGTCCCCTTTTTTAAGGTTAGCATATCAACTCAAAACAGCTAGTCTGGCCCCTAAGGAAAAAGTGGATCAATTAGCGATCTCGTTAAATCCGTAAAGAAACCGAAGCATATTTTCCAGCCTTTTCTATCTGCCAATAATTTTTCTGGATTCTTAAAATAACTATTATTTTTAGAATATGAGAAAACTTCCCATCACAATTTCCGAGATGAACAATCCGACCAACAGTGTAAACCCATACTGTAAATACGTGTTTTATTATCATAAAGAAATGAAAGATACAAATCTCACATCATACTGTATAAATTGGATAAGAACTTTTTGCAGATTAAATTACAATAGAGAAATTCCAAAGATATATATTTCTGGTAATTTGAAACTTCCATCATTATGCAATTTATCCAAAAGAGAGCACAACACAATCGTTAATATTCTACCCAAAACTCGACTGAAAAATAAATCTTTATATGTTTATTTATTATTTATATTAGTTTATCCTTTCACCTGGGCAATTACAACCAACAATCTACATCACTAGATACCACAAAAGTAAGAAAATAGTTTTTTGTCCTTTGAGTGAACCATTATTTACTATTAAAAATGTTTCCCTTGTCATCATTAAATCATGAACTCTCTTGTTCAGCTTGCTCGTGTCTTTGTATGTAACTCTGCAAGACATGTAAATAGAACAAAGCGATTTAATGAGCCGTTCCCTGAGTTGTCGGTGCTCTGCGACCATTGCAATCTCATTAAATTAGGCACAGGGCCGCTGAAGCTGTTTCACTGAATTAAAGTTCCCCGATGAAATGCAACATTCAGGTGGATCTCGAACACTAAACCCTTACAGAGGGCCGTTCATTATACATGTAATCCTTCTTGTTTATGTTTTGGCAGCAGCTTCCAGCCCCCACAGCCGAATCAGCAGGGATGACAGTGAAAGGAAATGGTCTTGTCAAGTGTGATTCATGTCCCCCCCCCTGCTTTCTCTCCTGGTGCCAGTACACAGACTTCTGAAGTGTAGTTTGAGAAGTTGTGTTACGGCAGATATGTCTACTCACATTACAGACTGGAACACTTCCTATAGACAGCATCATTTTCACTGACCAACCAGTGGTGGAGCCAGGACATTTTCAGTGGGGTGGACAGGATGGAACCAGTGATAATTTTAGGGTGGCATTGAAATCACTATTATATGAACATAAAAATAAATCTCACTATAAAATAAGGGGTTATTTAAGGCACCAACAACACACCTCTACATTATTTGGGATTAAGCTAGTGGTGGAATAGATCAAATAATATTCAGTATATCNCCCTCCCTCCCTCAAACGTTATGTTATTTCTGGATCCCAAAATGTGATTTCCAAATCTTGGTTCAACATTTATTCACATAACTCCGCAGAAGGAGCAAGCTACGACGTTTACGACGTTTTTAAGACTTGCTGTGACACCTTTATCTTGTGAGGAACCAATATTAGTGAGGTATGACAACATTATAACTGATGCAGATGTAAATGAGTCTTAGTTTAATTATTTTTCTATTTTTATTTTTAACCAAAAAGTATGTGGGTATGTTACTGAGCCGTATACTCTAAGTCTGGTTTCCCATAAGAAGCTTAGACCAATGTTAATTTCCCAGATTTACAATGAGTCGCAGCATCAGGATCCTTTGGGAAATCTAGCTACAAATCCACTGCTCCAGTTAAATCAGGCTTTCATGCGCTGCTGTGAATGGAGTTGAGCTCTCCTGTCTGCTTTTTCTTACTCCACCATTGTACCAAGATCTGCTATAGTCCTTGTTCTGAACCCTTCCATCTGGGCTTAAGAGTACCAGACGGGCCTCATTCCTCATCACCAGAATGTGGTTCAAATCCCTCTCCACAACATTTACACTCGTGTCCCTTGCAGCAGTGCGGTGAGCAGAGAAAAAGCACCCAGACACAGGTGCAAAGACAGAGGGAGCCAGTAGTAGGAAAGAAGGCCAGAGGCTTGTCTACGGAGCATGACTGGAAAGGCATTCAACCACAATACCCCTACCCAGTCCAGCTCAACCCTGTCCAGTGTGTGTGTGTGTGTGTGTGTGTGTGTGTGTGTGTGTGTGTGTGTGTGTGTGTGTAGAAGCAGAAGCCTAAGAGGGTGAAGGCGATCTACAACTGTTCGGCGGACAACGTTGACGAGCTGACGTTCGTGGAGGGCGAGGTGATCGTGGTGGAGGGCGAGGAGGACAGCGAGTGGTGGGTGAGTAAACAGGAAGTCCATCAAGAAACCCATCCCTCGACACTAGGCCCCGCCCCTTTGTGTGTTAAAAACATGTGCTGTCATGTGACTAGCGGGAAATACAGATTCTGAGGCTTTGTGTGTAATTTGTGCTTTCAGTTTGGTCACGTGGAAGAAGACCCGACGAGGAGAGGAGTGTTTCCTCTGACCTTCGTTCACTTCATCACTGAGTGATCGGGAGACACGAGTCAGCATTATGAGTCCTGGGGGGTGTACTACAAAGCTGGATGTTCTCTTAGCGGCTAACTTCAGGTTAACTCTGGGTCCCCGGTCCTACGAAGCTGGTTCTCTTTTTAGCAGGCTAGATCTCCATGGTAACTGATGCTGAGCGGCTAACCTGCCCCGGAGCAGGTTAGGTTGCAGGCTAAGAGCTCAACTCAGTGAAAGCACTGCCTGCTGACCAATCAGAGCTCAGTGTGCGGAGTTTAAAGCGATCAAGTCATATTACAGGAGAAAGGAAATACAGAAAAGCTGCCGTTGCAGGAAAAACGGCCGGCAAAAATCAGCGACTGTGTGAACGTGAACATTAATAGAATATCACCTCCCATCTTCAGAGCAATCTGACTATTAGAACATTAGAGTTAAGAAAGCTTACTTAAATATCTGCCACAACATAAGTAACCGGATCAGAGTAACATTAAGTACAGTCCGCGGCATATCACATCATAATGTATCATCTCCTTATCTGAGTCAGCTGAGCCGTATCTGGCCGTGCAACACTCACAGTGTCACATACTGTATGCAGAAGGATTATTTGAAGCAACACATTAAGTTGAGGAAACACTCGAGTCAAATGTAATGAAAGTCAGATGGTGTCTTAGACGGGGCAGTGATATCATAAACCTGTTAATGTACGGATTCAACACTTGTTCTGTTACGGCCACCTGTATTCACCTTGCAGGTGCAGCTATGTGGCTTTTGATCCTGATAGAAGTGGTTTTAAGTCATGGATGTTAAAGTTATTACTCTCATAATGTCTAATATTATAGTTGACTTTTGCATTCGGAAGTATGACGGCTGCGCTGTCAGCTAAGCTTCTCCATGTTGTGATTGTCGAATGCTCCAGATACCAACTTTCATGTGATTACGCACGCTAGACTAGATAGGACATCGGCTGGCTTGAGGCGATCCCACTTGATAACCCGCTGCGTAGGACCCGTTTAGCGAGAGCGGCGTATGTTTTGGATTAGGCCAACCGGATCTAACTCAAACATATCCAGGTAGGTTGAACCAGGCCTTCGTAGTACAGGCTCTCGAACCAGAAAATGAGTCAGCGCATTATGAGTCCTTACATTTATTAAAACATTATCATATTTTATAACACTATGGCAATTTAATCGACAAGATCTTATTTTTGTAAATGATCCAAAGCTGTAAATATAAAAGCAGTTAGTAATTTCCTTGTGGAGCTGCAGCGAGGATCGACTGCAAGCGCGAAAGTCTTTGTAATCGAATGACCGTTGTTGTTGTTGTTTTGTTGTTGTTGTTGTTGTTGTTGTTGTTGTTGTTACCATCTCCCCCACTCACATCTGGAAGGGCTAACGCTCAACACCCTTCCATTGAGTAAGGAGTTGCTGCTGTTTCCAGGCCCGTGGCCAATAGGCGGTTTAATATGAGACCTCATTCTTGATGCTCTTTGTTATGCTACGATGTCTGGATATCAAACGACCTTTCCTGTCTGCGCATGATTTCTGCAAATGTACTTCTTCTTCCTGCTCACTGTACCGTCTTCCCTCGCAGAAAGAGTCCTGTGTTGGCTCTCGTCTCTGTCATGATGTGTCCCGGCTGAGCTGTTATGTGAGAGAGGGTTTGATGCCACGCTTTTGACTTTACGTACTCTTTTATCTGATAACAGTGTTTATTAAAAAACCCCTGAAATCCACTCCTTTTGTAAGTGCGTCGGATTTTAGGCTGACAGACATCAGTTTTTCCCTTTTCACAAATATATAAAAACCGGCCAAACGGTGGTACTGCAGCTTCTGTGACGTCATTCTTTCCCCCATTGACTTACATTGGGAAAGAGACATGTGTAAATTCAGCAAGGGTGCATTTGTTTTTGAGCTAAATAAACTCAAACTGTTTTATTTCCTATTTAATCATTAGAATGTAAACGTACCTAAATGCTCTAAAAGCTGAATCGCAGAGTTATTTCCGCCAAAAAAAAATGAATATTTAAAAAAAATGTTTTTTTTAAAACAGTTAAAAATATATCTACTTTAAAAAAAAACACTTAAAAAATATTGTTTNAATTGAGTTTTATAATTATATCTGTGTGTCTATCTAACAGTGCTGTGTGTGTGTTCTTAGGCTTCTGCTTCTACGCACACACACACACACACACACACACACACACACACAGCACTGTTAGATAGACACACAGATATAATTATAAAACTCAATTCAAAGATACTTAATATAAAAAATTAAATGATGTGGAAAAAACATCTATTTTGAAATACGGTGCTAAATCAAACTGAAGTGTCACATGGTCCATATTGCACTTTGTGACGGCGTCATCACTTCTGCTTTTCTGGTTGAGGTTATGAATGTAAACTAGTTCCCCTGCACTGACAACAACATCAACAACAACAACAACAACAACAGACAGTGTGTGTTTCTAATTCTCTGCCCCTCCAAGTCCACCCTGACGGGTTGCGTTCAAGGACTTACGGAGAAAGTGCTCCTGGGTTTAGGAGTCGGAGGACTCTGTGGGGATGTGGGCTGCGAGCCTAAAGAGAGAAATAAACAACTTCAATATAAAAACACATTCATATTGAGAGGTGTGTGTGTGTGTGTGTGTGTGTGTGTGTGTGTGTGTGTGTGTGTGTGTGTGTGTGTGTGTGTGTGTGTGTGTGTGTGTGTGTGTGTGTGTGTGTGTGTGTGTGTGTGTGTGTGTGTGTGTGTGTGTGTGTGTGTGTGTGTGTGTGTGTGTGTGTGTGTGTGTGTGTGTGTGTGTGTGTGTGTGTGTGTGTGTGTGTGTGTGTGTGTGTGTGTGTGTGTGTGTGTGTGTGTAGTGTAGTAGCTATGTGTGTGTGTGTGTGTGTGTGTGTGTGTGTGTGTGTGTGTGTGTGTGTGTGTGTGTGTGTGTGTGTGTGTGTGTGTGTGTGTGTGTGTGTTTGTTCCTCTGCCCTTAGGCAGATCCCCCAATCAATGATTTGGAGTCATGACAGAGGACTCTTTGACAGAACGCACACACATTATCCCTCTGCAGCCCATCATACAAATGTCACCTGTTTTTCTTTATAAAAGCCATATTTGTAAATATCCAAACGCCATCGTCCCATGACGGCCACAGAATCAGTCAACCAACAGAAGTTAACTGTTCCCATGCCCTAAGGTCTTCCCTGACCTTCTTCTCACCTAAAAGTCAGCTATCTGGAATGAATACATTTAAAAATGAGAACAAAGGACTATGGTCTCGTTTAACTGTGTGACTCAATTCTCAAGGCCTGCAGGATGTGCATCATTAACTAACAAGAATTTAACTGCATTATATCTAAGGAAAATGTCTCTGGGAATTCCCCTGTTAATTGCAAGGACTATTGATAATTAACAGAGACTCAAGGGGCCTCTTCTTGGTATCTGCAAGGCAGAAGTCACTCAAGGCAGAAATCACAAGTTTAACACACATTCTATATAAGGTGACTTTAAAATGAATATAGCAGAAATACACTATATAAAACTTTCTGCTATAATATGTTACTTTAATACTTCAAATAATTTAAATAATACTTCACATGTTACTCATTGGTCCCAAATCCCTCACCAAAAACAATAACAACTTCTCTCTCACCATCGATTACTCCACTCTGTCTCCCTCCCCACACATCCACAACCTTGGAGTCACTGTATACAGCAACCACACCTTTGAAACCCATTTAAACCACAGAGCAAACATAACATCCACCCATCACTCTCCATCTTTGCTTCCGAAACCCTTATCCATGCCTTCATCTCATCCAGACTGAACTACTGCAACAGCATCCTGTATGGTACATCATCTAAACTCAATAACCTTCAGTACATCCAGAACTCTGCTGACCACATGAACCCTGCCTGCAGAACTTCCATTTGCTCCCTATGCGTCAACAAATACATTTTAAAATCTTTCTCCTAATGCACTAAGCTCTGAACAACCAAGCCCCCTCCTACCTGACAGACAGTATCCACGACCACACTCCTTCCCACAGCCTCAGCATAGTCACTAATAATGAGCAACAGAATAGCTGGGTTTCCCACACAGAGGTATTCCATCTCATCTTTGCCATTTGGAAGATCTTTCAATGGGATGGTTTTCTCAATCACTACTTGGATTGGCAACACTTTTCTGATTTCCTCTAACAGTGGACTAAATCTGCATTTATTCCTCTGTGTATCAAAGACGCAGACTCATTGTTCCCACTAAAGTAGGGGTGAGTGTAATAAGGAGGCAAAGTTGACGTTCAGTGTGTTACCGGGAGCATATAAGGATTTATCGACCATGTTGAAAATGTTAAAAAAAATATGTCTTTGAGAACACGGCGTGCGGAAATATACGGGTCGTGCTGCAGCTAGATGTGCCTGTCCTCTGTAAGAAGGTGTCGGCGACTGACATGCAAGGAAGAACGGCTGTCCACAGGCTGTTCCAACTTTAACAACTGTATTAACTTCCAGGGTAGTGAATTGGACATGCAATTGTAATTGGGTGTGTGGTATATTTTCATGCACGGACACGCATGTTCCACAACACACAAACTGAACAACACTCAATTTTCCGACCGCTACCAGCGTCCTTGCTATCTTGTTATAATAACAAGTGCACGTTACGGATGCAATATGGTTGAGACCATTCGGGCTTATTCTAGAGGGGTGCAAGGAATAGTCCAAATAGTGGGGGAGTTTTATACAATATGTTTAAAACATAAAAATAAAAAGGTTTAAAAAAGTTATTATTTAATGTTTTAAGGAGGTGACGCTACTCAGCCAATCAAATCGGTGCAGTCAGCACGATAGATTCAAACACACACACACAGAGACGAGACAAGAGGAGAGAAACAGTCGGAGTAATTTCAAATGGCGGAAGGTAGACAGCGAAAACAGAGCATTTAATTATCCCTAAATAACTAGGTCAAAATCGCTCAACAGTAACATCCTTCTCACTTCACCGGGAAAATTGCCAAAGTGACACCGCTCTAACCCCCGGAGACCAGTCTTGTCGTCTCGATTCTCGACAGTCCAGTGCCTTGTAACTCGCGAAACAGGGACGAAAAGCACGCAAGGTCCCTCGCTTTTCATGAAACCTAAACCGGGTCTAATTCTTCCGTCTACACTACCATATCAAAAACTTAACGGTCTACAGTAGAACTCACTAAAATATTATCCCTATGGAGATTTTTACATGGGACCTTTTGTTATTCGAAAATTAGGACTAGAGATTGTTAGACCGGATCAGGTCCCCCAAAAGTTCCCCCACACAACCGCATCCACTCGGGAGGGGAGTCTCCTTGTATTCTTGTCGGCGCCCGGGGGGGAAGGGTTAATAATAACGACAATAATAACTAATAATAATAATAAAATAACAACAACAACCGACTATTAAAAAACCGGTCCCCGATAAGTTTACGTAAAGTTCTCCAGTCATTC